CCTTGTGCAAGGTGTCAATGATTGTCTTTTGGACAGCTGTTAAGTCAGAAGTCTTCCCCATGATTGTGGTGCCTTCAAAACAAGACTGAGGGACCTTTTAAAGGCCTTTGCAGGTGTTTTGACTAAATCAGCTGATTAGAGTGGCAGCAGGTGTCTTCTATATTCAGCCTTTTCAGAATATTCTAATTTTTTGAGATACCAAATTTGGAGTTTTCATTAGTTGTCACTTATGAATATCAAATTTAAATGTAATGAACATTGGAAATACATTGGTCTGTGTGCATTGCATGAGTATAATGTACAAGTTTCACGTTTTGAATGGAATTACTGAAATATCTTCAACCTTTTGATGATATTCTAATTTACTGGCCAGCACCTGTAAATATTTTGCATATTTATTGCAAAATCTCATTTTTCTGCTTTGGTGCTGCAACAAGGTTTTATTAATAATAAATTATTATACCTTTTGTTTTACTACAGCATCGGTACGCTTCCTGTGCACAGATTATTAAGGATGCATGTTTCAGCTGTGAGATTAGACGATAGGATCAATGAAAAAATAAGTTGTCACACACTCCATGGAAACTTTCAGAGAATCCACAAATAGTGGCTTTCAAATGGTTTTGTTACTTTTAGCAAGTTTATAAAAGAAGCAGATGAGAAGCATGTGTGATAAGTTAGTTTTTCATCTGATAATATTATAACATGTCAGTAATGTCTATCGGGCTTTTTACAAACACTATATAATTAATAATCATGGACAGGGTATGAATTACACAGCGGCTTCTGGGGAACCCAGTTATGTGTGTGTGTGTGTGTTGGGGGGGTGGGGGGGTGATTTTGACTTGGCCCCCAAAATGTCTTGAAACGGCCCTTGGTGTGTGACAGTTTTGAAGGTGATCTGAAGATCTGAATTGTATCAAAAGTATAAATATTACATGTGTATAACTTATTGCTTTATACAGAAACGCGTAGTGGAGATAAATCAACCTACATTTTACTGTTCTCTTGAGTCTGGTCACTTTCACTAAATATTTCAAACATTATTTGTTGGGCAAGGAATTTGTTTTAAAGACAGACCACAACTCTCTGCGATGGCTGCACAATTTCCAGGGTCTGGAGGGACAACTGGCTAGATGCGTGGAACAGCTGGCCAATTTCCAGTATAAAATCATTCATCGGCCAGGTAAACTGCATAGTAATACAGATGCCCTTTCCAGACTGCCAATTTGGAAACCGGAGAGCTTATCAGCCAGCCAAGGAATGCAGCACTTGAGAGCTGAGTTGAGGGTGTGCTCCCTACAAGAGGGAGGATCAGGGTCTAGTCGGGCCTTAGAGATGGATGAACTCAGCTAGGCTCAGCTGGATGATCCGGTGCTGAAATGGATCAGGGATGCTAAACAGGGTGTAGGACTTGTAGGCCCTGATGACCCAGAATTAAAACAGTTTGCACCTGTGTGGGACCAACTCGAAATATGGGTTCCAAGTTGGTGCGTGTAGCACCGGCAAATTCTGATGCTGCTCTGGAGGTCCAGGTTGATTTGCCCCAGGCTCTGGTCCCAGAGGTCCTGAGACAGTTCCATAAAGTCCCCACCGGGGGCCATCTGGGGGTCCAAAAGTTACTAGGCAAGGTTTAAGACCGTTTTTATTGGCCCGAGTGGATTAAGGACGTAAAGGCTTGGGTTCGTGAGTGTGCTGACTGTGGCTTAGTTAAAATGCATGGAGGAACACCACGCGCACCTTTAGAGCAGTCACTGACCTCTAGGCCCTTTGAACGCATTGCAGTGGATAGTTAGGGTCCACTCCCTGAGACCGGACTGAAAAATAAGTACATCATGGTAGTGGGTGACTACTTCTCTAAATGGACGGAAGCCTTCCCACTCCATAATCAGGAGGCTAAAACAATCGCTAGAGTTCTGACTGAGGAATGTGTGTGCCGGTTTGGGGTGCCACGGAGCCTCCATTCTGACCAGGGGAGGAACTTTGAGTCAAAACTATTCCAAGAGCTATGTGGACTCTTGCAGATTCATAAAACGAGGACAACCCCCTATCATCCCCAGTCAGACGGATTAGTGGAGAGGTTAATCGGACGTTGCTGACTGTTAACTTTTTTGTGGAGGACAATCAGCTTAATTGGGATTCCTTGCTGCCATATGTAATGCTAGCCTACAGAAGTAGCACTCACACCAACACATCTGTCACACCCTATAAGGTTCTGTTTGGGCGAGAGATCGTGCGACCTGTTGACGTCATGTTGAACCTTGACAAGGGTGAAACCTTTGCCTCGGCAGACGAGTATGTGACGAGACTGAAGGAAACATCGACTACGGTGGTAGATGCGGTGAAACGCCATCAGTGCAGAGCCTCGGCGCAACAAAAGAGGGCATATGATCTTAGGGCCTCATGCCAGTTATACTCGGAAGGTGAATTGGTGTGGTCTGAAACAAGCTGGGGGGGGGGGGGGTTGTCCCAAGCTTCAGAGACGATATAAAGGACCGTTTTATGGTTCTCGAGCGGGTGACAGATGTGCTGTACAGACTGTTACCCGTTGAGGGGGATCCTGAGAGTGCGATTCACTTCAATCGACTAAAGCCGTGTACTTCTCTTCCAACAGTTGCAGCACTGATGGCTGTGGGGTCCCGAGAGAGAGCGGGGTAGAGGCTGCGTCAACCGGATGCCACCTGGGAAGACACCAGCAGGGTTCATCAACGGTCTGCAGAGACGAGTGGTTCCGGTGACTCAAGTGACCAGACTCCATCATGTGGAGAAGCTGCTCAAGGGGGTGCTGCTGCAGGAGGACCGGAAGGATGTCTCCCTGGGAAGGTCGAGGGACATGGAGCTGTGGAACAGTGCGTGGTTCATCAACCGGATGCCACCAACCGTCAACCGGATGCCACCTGGGAAGACAACAGCAGGGTTGATCAACGGTCTGCAGACGAGTGGTTCCAGTGACTCAAGTGACCCTGCCCCATCACGTGGAGAGGCTGCTTGAGAGGGTGCTGCTGCAGGAGGATCGAAAGGATGTCTCCCTGGGAAGGTCGAGGGACAAGGAGCTGTGGAACAATGCGTGGTTCGTCAGAGGAGACCCCCCGCTTGGTTCACGGATTATCACATGGATGTTTAGGACTTGTGGGCGAGTCCTTTAGGTCGAGAAGGGGGAGAGTGTGGAAGACAGAAGACGAAGTTGCCAGAATCTGGGGGCATGGCGATTGGACGCCGGCTGGTCCTTGTCACGCGTAATGAGGCCGGAGAGGAGAAAAGGGTGGCAGATCTACCAAGGTGTGTGTGGTCGACCCGTCATTGTGGCACCCCGTTCTCGGGGGTGGGATCGTTCGCAATTGGTTAGGACTGCCGGCAATGGAGATAGCCGAGTAGGTGGGCAGCGTTCCAGCACTAGGAGGGTAGGCTTGATGCCTTCTTTAGGTAGTGAGGGCTGGGAGTAGTTGGGTGCCGAGACCACGCCGACATCTGCCGCCGCAGACTCTGGCAGCCGGACCTGAGCCATGGACTTACCCGCCGTCCTCGCAAGCTGAGCTCCGGGGCGCTGGACGGTGTCGGAAGCTCAGAACCCGGGGAGGGGGTTGCATCGACTGGGCCAGCTAAGTACACGCTTGCTTGATTTTATTTATGCTGATCAGCTGACTTAATAAAGGAACTCGGCTGTAGTGTTTTATTGTTGGTTGTGGTAATAAAGAATATTTTGGATAAGTTGCTGCCTACTGTTGCCGTTTTTGGGTTCTGACTGGAGATTAAGATATTCTGCCTGTGCTCCCACTAAAACTTATATTACAATATTCACCAATATATGAAAATTCGGCATAAACACAAACAAAGCTCATTTAATTATCTCAGTCCCATCTTTGCCAGTTTAAGGTTGTAATAATCCTTGGTATAGTAAAAAGAATCCACTTTTTTACATGCAGGAGATTGTTTATAAGTCTCTGATGCCACTTTCCATCATTTTCCTTCATAATAACAAAACTCCACGAGGTGTAGTCAGCTGCTCTACAACAACCAAGGACGGTGAACTGTGGAGAATTTCCGGTTTGGTTCTGAGACTATGCCCTGCCGGTCTTCTGCACATGTCTAAGCGGGAGTTATACCCTGCACCCAAAGGCTCTCCTACTGCTGCTAGCATTAGTAGGGGGGATCCAGCGCGCATGCGCCAGTTGGCGTAGGTCTATAGTAGAGATTGCTGCACCCAAGAGTAACAGGAAATACGTCACAAGATGATTCGGTAGTGTTAAACGCGTAAATAACATTTTTTAAACTACACTTAAATGAAGACTATACACAACACTTATAGTCTGTATGATGTATAGATAGTTTAGTTTAATTTTCATGTTTTATTTTATTTTGGGATTCCCATTTTCTTCTTCCTGTGAGACTGGTGGGGTGGTGCCCTTGCACCCCCTATGGACGAGCCACCACTACTTGTGAGACCATCTCTGGGGGAAAAGCTCTGGCGCTCCTGTTTCAGGATGTAGAAGTGAGCCAAAGAGGAGAGCAGAAGACAGTCGATTTTAGAGTCTTATTTTCTGATATTCAGACATTTCCTTTGACTAGATAACAGCAACGCAACTCTCACTCTGCGACATTGATGTTTTATCTCCACAAATAACAAGCCTGAAGGAGTTCTGCCGTGTGGTGGAGTTGCTAATGCCATCAGTTAGTTTCTGTTAGCAGAGACATGCTTAGCGCTCTTCTGGATGCTAAATCAACATCTTTCAACATCTATCCCCGTCACGAGTCAAGAGGGGCGAGCCTGTGAATGCTCCGACTTTATCCGACCCGACAGTTTCCCCGTCTATTTTCAATTGGCAGCTAATGCAGGCAATAGGGGTAGAAAAATATTTTCATGCTTAGCCTGCATGCAATCCATCATATTTCAAAAATAAGTTAAAAAATAAATAAATACATAAATAAAAGTAAAGTGTTCTCAGTGAACTTGGTCTTTAAAAAGAAAATGGGCCACAAACAAATGCAAGCATGTAACTCACCTCTATCATCCGTCTCTTCTTCCTGTCCATTCTCTCACCCCTCTGGCCAGTCAGAATGGAGTAACAAGCTTTACACACTTTATTTAGCTTGTTACCATCATACTCCAAAGACGCTTTATTATCGGAACACCTCCAACACACCACCTGTTGGAGTTGAGACATTTACCTTAACTGTAGTCAGATCAAGTTCCCTTCTGAATGCTAAAAAGCTTTATGTTCCTCACGTAGCCACAGGCTCGACAGTGGTGTCTTCTTCTGGTGAGAGCATTAAAAGGCTCCCGACATATCATACACACGTTCACCTCATTGTCTCTGATCCAGCGAGGAGCTCGACGGCCAAGTTCTTTTGCCTGTGAACCACATACAAATCATAGTTATGAAGGATCCATGTGTTGAAATCTTAAGTCAAAACTTCAAAGGAAATCAATGGTCCAACCTACAGGTTCTTCCATGTATAATTCCTTTGACACCATTTTAAAGGTTTCATTTTTCTTCTGAAACACATTGATGGCTTCCTGAATCACCTGCAAATGAAAAGCTTTTTTTTTAAGTTCTAACAATAAAATCTTTCCCTAATCTATGTAGAGTTCACTATGCCACATTTGAATAAAATTACCTCTATCCACTCATCTCGATCCTGTTCAGAGCTTGGAGAGACAAAAACACATGTCTAATTTGATTTGTGTGTGCATTTTCTTTACGATTGGCACTAAAAATACATAGAAATATTTTACTACCCATCAAAAAACACCATCTTGATAAAGCTTTGTGAAGGTCACCTAGCCTGTAGCTCAAGGCTCTTCTCCTTTCCAGACACCTGGAAGGTGTACAGGTGGTCTTCATTAGTGGTCTGATGCACCTTCATGCCATCAACTCCAATCCTGCAACGGACAGTAAATTTCTGCCCAACCAGGCTGAACTTTGCTGAGCAGCACAGCAGGAAGTTATTGAACTGAGGGCAGAAAAAAATTTATTTTGTGCAAAAGGGTTTGCAGTTTGGGTATTATTGTAAATAAAGTTACCAGATTCATACTAATTTCTGTAAACACTAGGATCACACTGACCAGGAACAGGTGTCTCTCCATGGCTGATGCGTTTCTAGCGGCAAGCTTGAGCAGACGACCTTCTTTGAGAAACTCATTGGTTGGGTTGACCACTTCCTCTTCTCCAACCATCTCATATATCTCCAGAAGCCGTTTCAGGCTCTCCTACAACAAACCAAAGCAGCTTTGTAACAGATCCATAAAGACAAAATCAACCAAACTTACACCTGGTTTATTGTTTCTCATTTCATCCCGTCTGAAATAGCTTTTAGGGATGCACTGAAATTAAAAGTCTTGGTCAACACCTAAAACCGAAAGAGGAAACCAAGGCCAAAAACCGAAACACAAACAAATTATTATGTAGATAATTAGAACCATAGCATTTATGCTACAATGTGTACTAACCACAATTAAATCAATGCATTGCAATAAATCGATTACAGAACTATGAAAATATGTGTTTTGCACTGACATAACAACAATGCACAATATAAATTAAAACTATTAAATGTTTCACTTGACCCCATACGTTTATTAAATACTAAATTATAAGAAAACTATAAAGGTACAGGCTTATAAGTAAAAGGCCTGCTGAGGAACGTAAAATTAACCCTTTATGCACCAAAGTTGCATTATTATGTTCAATGAGCCACAGCCACAAACATAACCACTCATGAAAATATTACTTTACACCAGAAGATAGTGGAGATGTGTACCTTCAATCTGAGCAACACTTTTAGGTGTTTCTATTGACATTTTGGAAGTTTATAGTTTGAAAACTATCCTTCCATCGGAGGCTCCCGACTGAGGGGAGGAGGCGAGCACACAGAGGGCAAATATTATATACCGTAAATCCTCTAATACAGGCCCGGGCCTGTATTTGACTCAAGCTCATCAAGCTCCAGGCCTTTATTGGAAGGAGGGCCAGTATTAGAGGCAGACCTCTATTTCTAATTGAGCAAAATGAACTAATGGTTCGCTGGAGTTTTTGACAATTAAAATTGCGCCCACATTTTCAAAGTTAAAAACATTTCTTTTAACAACGGTAGTTTCTGCTTCAGCCATCTCCCCCCTCCCCCTGCTTCAGCCATCTCCCCCCTCCCCCTGCGCAGCGGCTGCAAACTCACTGATGCGGCTGCAGCCTCTCGGAGTTCCTGCTGCTCTAAACATTAAAATAATTATTTCATTTTCTGTTCCACACTTCTGATGACCTTCAATGGTGTCTGTTTGTTGCAACCAGCAGGTACAAAAACTAACTTGTTTTTATTTGACTATTTTTCTGTCCTGTCTGTTTATTATCTTCCTGCATCTCCTCTCAATCCTAAAGAAAAACTGCTACCTGGGTTCATATATATTCACCTTATGAGTTACCTTTGAACTGCAGTTCTAAAAGATCTACTGACCGCAAAAACAGCGGAGCGCTCGCTGTTTGGCGGCCGTATCAGTGATCAGTGCGTCGGAGGAAGGTGATGCGCGCAGCGCCCCGCTCCACAGCATGCAGCGAAACGCATCAGGCGCAAATAAAAGACAGAAAACATTAAAGGAAATGAACTGACATGAACGATCGCGTGTTAAATTAGTTTTTGAGGTGGTGACATCTGATTGTTACTGTGGCCGTGCTCAGGAGGCAGATCTACCGACCGCGAAAACAGCGGAGCGCTCCCTGCTTGCCGGCCGCATCAGTGATCTGTGCGTCGGAGGACAAGTTGATGCGCCCCGCTCCACAGCAGTGATACACATCAGGCGCAAATAAAAGACAGAAAACATTAAAGGAAATGAACCGACATGAACGATCGCGTGTCAGTACCTACGGTCTGGCACAGCGCGCGTACTTTTGGGTCATTTTCAGATGAAAATTTTTGGTGGCCAAATTGTCAGTGCGTCTCTAATATTTTCTACTGATCTATAATGAAAATGTGTGTAAAGTCTTTTTATTCCATCTATACATCAGGAATTTAATGAAATTCCTGATGTATAGATGGAATTATTTTTCCACAAATTTTACAAAAGTCACTGTAGATTAATTGAGATCTGTAGCTCTCGGAGTAAAGCCTAAACTACTTGACGTCCTTTCAAAGCTTGAGTTTGACATTTGGGATCAGGGCAAGCAGTGAAAAATACTATGAACTGGAGCAGAGTGAGTCCTCTTTCCTGACAGAGAAAGTTCCACAAAAGAAACAAATCCAGCAAGTCTACTGGTCCTATTCTACTGCTTCTGATTCATGTTCACTTTAGCACCATCTAAACTCAAGATGTCTGATGAGAATAATTATTTATGTCAAACATGTACCTGCAATACAAGTATAGATAGCAATGTCTAACAGCTTTAAGCACTTTCGAAATCGGAAAAATATAAACTTTTAAAGAATTCCAGACTTCATAAAAACTCTGTAAATGACAGCTGAAAAAGTGGTTACATACAGCTTTATGGATGGCACTGTTGGAGTGAGTGGCTGCCATGGAAACCGCCTCCAAGGATTCTGTAGAAGCAGATGAAACATTTTCATCCATTCGTTACAGACGTTATTGACCAGAAACAAAGAGGTGAGCTATCAGAAAGAGTGGGACCTAAAAAGTGAACAAACACCTGTAGAGGCACTAACGTGGATAGAAACTGGGCATTATCATACGCATGAGAAAAAAATGTAAACAGTTACTTTGAGCAGGCTCATAATCAGGGTTATCCTCAGGAAGCTTCTTCAGGTAATCCTTTAGCAGCATCTCATAACGTGGAACTCTCTGTACTGGTTCCAACATGTGGTGCTGCAGAGTGAGGTTTCCACACACATCCTGACTCTAAAACCACAACACCCTGATCAGATCGGAGGAGCAGGTGAGTACTGACAGACACAAGCACAGCGTTTCCTACCTGGATGTCTTGGATGATGTTTCTAAAGGCAGAGGAGCGTTCAGTCCATGTCCTCAACAGCTCCATGGCCTGGTCAAAGTTCCTCACGTAGTCCGCATACATCCTCAGGAAGGGTCCATGCAGCAGAAGAGCCCTACCCAGACCTGGGCCTAGACCCCTTGATTCAACAAAAGTGGGAGGGCCAGGTGACATAAATCCATTTTTCTTTCCTGTGGTTTTTAAAACCGTCTTTACATTCAGGTCAGTCAAATACTTTACATCTGGTTAATATATAAAAAAAACTATAAAAATAACTCATATCTGATAAAAGTGATTGTGTGGATGTTTGCATTTGGGCAGTTTGTTTTCCCTTTCAAAAAGGAACCAACACGTCAGACTCACCAGCTGCAGATGCATTGTTCAAGGTCAGGGAGCAGAAACTGGCTGTGGAAGGAGTAGATTGAAGAAATGTTAGAGAAGATGTTTTTTATGACCTCCGGAGGAAATGAGCCTCGATCAGCCTCGTGTGCCAGGCGCAAACAGAAGACCTGAGGGAGACGAGAAAAGGGGAAATCCTTAACGTTTTTGCTACGCATGAATACGTAAAAGTGTTTTAAAAAAGTCTCGAAGAAACCACAGTTACTTGATCTAGCAGGTGGAGACGAGCCACATAAGCCCTCTCTGTCTGCAGGAGTTCATTGGCTATGTTGTACAGTTTCCTCTCTGTAACTTCTTCATCTTTTGGGTGATTTTGTTTCTCGTCACTCATCTTCTCTTCTCCATTTGTTTCAACTCCCAAGGGCATTTTTGTCTTCTCGTCTGCTGTGCTTCCTTTGGTCCACTCACAGGAAAACCTGGATCTCCTGGGTGTTGTATCTGCTTCCATATAATTTATGGCTGGCCTTTCATTCCCCTGCTCCATGCCATTCAGCTGACCTGAGACAGGTTCTGACCCGTTGGTTAAATGATGGCCTCCGGGAATGATGCAGAGCTGACATTTAACAGGTGTCTTGATGGCAGTTGCAGACCCATTACAGTTAGCCGACAGCAGCAGAGAGCAGTCAACCTTTTCAATGAGATGCCTGGGCAAATTGAAAAATTGTAAATTGATCTGCACTCTTATAGCGCCTTTTAGAGTCCGAGGACTCCAAAGCGCTTTACACTACAGTGTAATATTCATTCATTCACGCACACATTCACACACTGACAGTGATGAGCTACAATGTAGCCACAGAAGCAAATTTGCGTGTTGTTACTTGAAAAAGATAGTAGGGTGGTGAAAACGTCCTACCTGTCTTCATCCATGCAGACGATCACACTGGGCACACTGAAAGACTTCTCGGCTATCTTCTTGGGTTGTTCGTTTTTCTCATTTGAGATTTTGTGCAGCCCCGTCCAGGATTTAGAGATCCTTGCTGGAGTATAGGTTCCCATCCTCTTCAGAACTGGACTTGGGGTACGAAGTTTTCCCGTCAGAGAGCTGTGGCTCCTTGGAGACGTCTTAGCTGGACTGTGGTCTTTCTCTCTGTGTGGACTACAGTTCTTGATGCTTAATTTGCTTGGGCTTGGAGATCCTAGAACTGGAAAGATTGAACGCTTTGAAATCCCCTGAGCAGGTCTAAAAGGGCAGACTTGTTCTCCAGGCACAGCACTTAAGAAATCACTTCCTTCACCTCTAACTGGACTTGGGGAGCCTTGGTAACCCAGAGATAGGTTCATACAGGAAATGGAAACTCCAAACTTCCTGTTGGGACTATGATCTTGAATTTTGCCAGTCAATTGAGGTGGATCCTGTTCTGCCCCTTGTGGGCTCTGGAGATGAGCTGGATCATGGGGAAAAAAGTGTTTGAGTGCAACACCAAGTTCAAGCCATATTATTGTAGTCTAGCTGATTTCCAATAGGACAAAACTTCCTACCTACCTTGATTTAAGGATGATCTTGCTGGGCTTTTGTCACCAGTTTCCTCTTTAGAGTTTGGATTTGTACCATCACAATCAAGGCCACTGTTGAATGAGCCCCACACTCCACTGCTTACTTCTAAGAATAAACATGTATTATATACATTGCACAGCAAATTTGTCTGCAGTCGGCTCCTCTTTGCTTCCTTATTAAGACTTTTCCGCTTTGCTAATATAAACCATTATAGTTGCTGAAAAATACAGTTGAAAATGAAAACGGTTAATCTTATAGATGTATTTTGATATGCGAAGCAAGTTAGTTACTTTGCTTCTAACGCAGCTGTTATTCCAATTCTTATTTTTAATAGAAAGATTCATGTAAGGGTTAGTTTAAAAGTTTTGTCTCCTGAAGTCTAAGTAGAAGTGTCTTTAAAAGTACATGTAATCATAGTAATGTGTAAAAACTGGTTAAAACTGCTTCAAAGTTTTGTATGATTTGGACTATTTCCCTTTTCTCTTAGAAACATGGTTTGTAGTGCCCAATAACGACAACAATATTAAATCAATAAAATTAAATTAAATGAAAGTTTGTGACTTCGCCCTGGATGAGGGATTGCGTGGTACGAGGCAATCTCCTGGTTTGCTTATATAAGGTTAACTATTGCTATAATATGCAGAATCTGATTATGTCACAGTGTTGTTGAATTTGTGGTATTTAACTTTGAATCAGGTCACATTTAAACAGGATTCGTTGTTATTAATTAGTACATATAGTTATTTTTCCTCATATTACTAGTCGGAATACAAGAATGGACTGAGATATAAATACTATACAGCTACCCCCCCCCCCCCCACACACACACACACACACAATTTTAAATATACATTACCTCTTTATTATAAATGAACAAAAAAAGCTTAGTGGGGTGTAATTAATTTTCCTACCATCGTGAACGTCCAGCGGTTTTGTCCGTTAAAGTTTGAGGGACCTCGTTAACTCGCTTCAGGCTTTGCTTAGAGAAGCTGATTTGTTGGTCATGTGGAGAGATTTTAAATCCTGCTTTCTCAGTACAATACTTCTGCTTTCTTACTTCTGCATTGTTATACATCATTCCAACCTTTGCCTGAATTGCACAGAACTGCAAGACGGATCCTGTGATCACGGCTGATAGTTGACATCAAAAACTTCACAAAGACAGATCCATTACTCTGAGTCCTTCAAACCTAATGCTTTGTTATTGACCTATTTTCAAAGAAGAGGTTGGTCATGTTTCAGGCATTTACTGGAAAACATTTAACTAAATATGATTAAAATCAATTTAATAACACATCTGTACAAGAGAACAATAATAAATTAATTCAACACCTCCACCTAAAACTGTTTATAGATTCTACTTTACGAGGCTACAGAGCAAATTTCTTTTATAAAACATAGAGCTGTTGAATACTGCATCTGTGTGTAACACTGGAGCAAAGATACTTTTATACCAACAGTTCTGACCCACTGAAAGAACAGTAAAACTGTCTGGAAGGATGTGAGGAATGGTGGTTTTAAGCCACACAAACAAAGTCCAACATAAATGACTACTCTAATCCAACTGAATGCAACAACACACTTACCCACTGTCCCCTCTTAAAGAGATTAAAGTTGGGGGGGGGGGGGGGGTGGGTGGGGGGGGAATACACAAATTGAAATTGGAACATTAAAAATATTTAATAAGTAGGACTGCACCAACTCACTGCTATTTATAAAGTTGAACCAACAATTTCCATTATTTATTTATAGTAATTAATTTATAAATTCTGTAAATGGACAATAAACAACGATTGTCCAAATTGTTTAGGTAAAAATATTTCTAATTAAAATTTGCTGTAGGGGTGAATTCAGAATACAATACAAACATGTATATGAGAAAAATGTAAGTGTTCACAATAAAGTCAAAAAGGTCATAAAAACCTGAACTGCAAATGTTTTTTAGTAGTATTTAAACTGAGGTTTGTGGGTATGCTGTCACTTGGTACACTACTAAAGAAAAAAACTAAGGCAGTGTATTAATACAAGCTTAAGTTTTAAGTACTTTTCATTGACCTTTTACAGCATAACTCATAACTTCTTTCAATCCTTCACAATAAGAGCCTCAACAAGTGCCAAAAATTAAGAGTTTCACTACAGAACGCTCCAAATAACAATTAAATAACGAAACCCGCTTTAGGCTTTAGATGTTTCTACGTATGCCAGTTTAAAGACGTGCATTGTTAGTAAATAGGAGAGGATGTGTGTAATGGCCTGTTTTTTTTTTCCAGAGCTATAATTTCCAAAACAGCTTTCGAAGATTCATAAGGTGCTGAAGATGGTTAATTAAGCTCAGTCCAAAGTTTATCTAATTAACACAGTGCTCATGATGCATGTACATCTCACCTGAGGCGTGGCTGTCCCCCACAGCACCTTTATCTTTTCTTCTGACCGCCACCCGCCTGAACTCCTCTGCCTCCCGGCTGCTGCTTCTCAGCGTCAAACGGTTCCTTTTCTTCAGGTCAAACATGATTATTCTGGAACAGTCGCTCCAGTTTCAACGGCAGACAGGTGGTTTGCTGCAAAGGACAATAATGCTTCAGCGAAACATGATGGTATCAGCCCAGAAAGAGCGAGTTGTGAGCGGTCCACCTGCTCAATCAGCGCCGCCACCTGTTGACAAGCCCCGCCTTTGATTTAAATGACCACCCACCTTCGTGCTGGCGATGACCAGACAAGAAAACTAACAACAAATAAATCAAATTTGAAAATATATATTTTAAATGTTATTTTCCAACAAATGTGTTTGTTTTTTATGTTATTTTTTGTGTGTGAGAATCAGAAAGCGTTGTCTGAAAATGCTGAGTAGCCCCTGGCTGCATCCCGGAGATCGGGGCGGGGCTAAATGTGGGCGGGGTTAAACGTTTAGAGGTGGGTGGAGACAACTATTTGACTCCTGCCCCTCTCTCAATGGAACCAGGAAACCGCGAGTAGCCCCTTTCTAAGGATTAGAAAGCCCTAAAAACCCACAAAACCCATGTAAAGCATAACATTGGTAATCAAATGACTTGTTTGCTGGATGTCATGATAATTTTAAAGAGCAGATAATTACAGGCGCCATTTTTGATCCAATCTGTTCTGATATTTTTATTCTTTTTTCTACTTTTGTATGGTATGTGTATTTATAGCACATAGGTATTTGTGTCTTTTAGCTATACTTTTGGTACCTATATAAAAGGTTCAGGCATTTGATAGACTATTCTTTAAACCTGTCAAAACCATTTTAATAGTTGATTTTATCAATGCCGCCTTTATTTTAATAGTCATTTCCCAAGTGAGTGTAAAACAGTACAGACATGGGTAAATTTGTTGTACACTCAGTTATTTCAGCTACATTAAGAGGACCAGAGACTTAAATTGTGCTGATACTTCTTAAAACATGCCAGGGTTTGAGGCGGGGTGGTGAGACATTGTGTGAGACACCCAAGAATGCAGACTAAATTTTTCAAAAAAGGTAAATTTAATAGAGCAAACAGCCAACACAGGAATAAAAAAAAGTACAAACAAATGAACCAAAAAGCACACAAAAAGCAAGAGAACCTCCAAAAAAACAATGTGAGGAGGAAAAAGAATGCAAAAACTGTGACACCGCTGTACTATGGCATTTCAAAGCCAGAAAACACCCTGATCTTCCTTTTTTCCTCAATTTCTCTGCAGAACTCCTCATAGTCTGACTGAAAACTAAACATGAACAGGAACGGTTCCCTGCAATCGTTCATCTCCTCTTCATCTAGGCCATCACAGAAGCATAACCTCTCCACTGCCCTCCGGCAAGCTTCCCTGTCCATGGTGATGACCTGGGGAAGGGAAAGGCTTCTTTTGAAGGACCTTGTGGTACACCACCTTGCTGCCTCAAAGGTGTCCTCAAGCAGAGAATTCTCCTAATCAAAAATAAAGACAATATTAAAATTACTGCTGTCAAGAGATTAAAAACATATTTTACATTAATTATGTATGATCTGAAAGTAATCTAATCTTTTAATTTAATCTAATAACTGTACATAATATAAGCCTTATTTTCAATGCTAACAGCTAACCAAACAGCTGATGCTGTGGTCTTTCCAAACTGCAGCACGGATGTGCGTCTGATACAGGAGAGAAGCTGTCAGCAGCCTTGATGCTCAGTGACACACCCATTACATCCAAATGGTAACAATAACTTTGGAAAAAGTTGCAAGAAGGGTGAAAAAAACAGAGTAAAGATAACAAGGTCGCTGAAATAAACACTGCTGCAGCTAATCTCTCACCGGTCTTGTCACTGTAACGTCAACCCTTCAACTTATGAGTTTACATCAACCCTTCAAGAACACCAGCAAGAAGCGTAAAAGAAAAGAAATTGGTTTATTTAAAAGTCCCATAAAGAAGCAGTAGATTAAAAATGATTAACATAATTAAAATATATAACATGTTAATCATGGCTGTAAAAAATTAATTGCAAGTAATGGAATTATTTGACACCTCTAATTAAAATAGAGGTTGGAGAAGAAACAATGACACAAGAAAAGCCAACAATATAAAACATACTCTGTTCCCTGTGTCCAGTTCCAGCAAGTTCTCAGCCTCTGCTAGAAAGGAAAAAGATTGTGGTTCATAAAAAGCATATTAACAGTGCAAGTTGTAAAAAAGATCAGTTGCTTAGTATTCTGGTTTAATGAAAATAGAGAAATGACTGAAAAACTTGCTTTGAAAAAAAAAGTGCTCGTCTGGAACGGTCTTAATTTTCTAATCTTGGCAAAGTAAGAATTTCATTGTGCAGAAAGCGTGTTTTTCTAGCTGTACATATGACAAAAAGTTGAATCTTGATTCTTCCCACATCCCATTTCGACAACCTAGGGGGTTGTGTACAATAATACTTGTTTGAACAATACCTGATGCTGCACAGACTAATTCAGTATGGCAGGACTTCTTAGGAGGGACCACTTCCAGGCCCTGAAATAAGTGAAGGAATTATGCTTTAGTCTGCAAGCAACAGTTAAACTACAAGAATTAATCAAATTGTCTCTCACCTGTTTTACTCTTTCCTCTCTCCGTCTTTTTCGTGCCTGCACCCTGTCTTCCTCAGACCTTGGTGATACAATGACAACATTCATTCACTATGAAAACATTCATGTTATTCTGTTGACACTTGACTGAGCAAAACGTTTATATAATTACACGTATCAGATTAGCACTCTAACCATAATAATAAAGCCCATCAGGTGTAGAACTCAGATACAAACATAAAAAGCTTAAAAAACTAACATTTCCCCCTGTAAAATATATTTTCCACCAAAAAGTAATCACGACCACACAACATATCTCCCCAAAGCTATAAAAGTGTTCCTACAGGTTTCTTCAACTTAAAATTAAGTCTGTTTAAGATCTTTCTAAAGCCATATAGAAAATTAATACCTATTTCACAGCACTATCAGCAAAAAAGTAAATAAATAAAATAAAATTCTTGAACTAGTTTTCATTTATTTATCTATACAACTTTACCAATATATTTTGACAAAACACTGGGTGGGCACTTGGTAGAAGATCGGTGATATTTTTAAACAAATGGTTAAAAATATAACCGGATCTCTGGTTTTACATTAGAACCTTAACAATAATTTTTGTTGCCTATATTTTAGTTTAATTTTAAGACGTTTTTTTTATTATTGTTAATTTTATTACCCTAATTTCTTGCAGTATTTCTATTGTATAAAAGCAACAGTGCAAACAGTAAAGACACAAAATTGAAATAAATGTCTAAAAATAGCCTTTATTAATACTAGTGCTTCTCTTCATGTCATCACTTGTTTGGAATATTTTGATGAACTTCAGAAGAAAAATGCAGTACAGAAAACTTACATCCAACACAAATTTTAAGACCCAGATGCCAAAATTGAAGGGTTTCTCTAGTCTTTTAAAGGTATTACTTTCAAATTCATAAATTCAATGCTTTTAAGACTCCGCGGGAACCCTGTAAACATTTCTCCTCAAAAGTAAGTCACCCCGCATGTGTAAAATAGGCTATATGTATCATCTAAAACTCATAATGGGGAAAAACCTTTAATTTCCAAGTTCATAAAACGTTCGCCCAACATTGGTCCTCGATATTGTTAAAACAGAGAAAGAAAAATCCTGGCTTACCTTGATTTTGGCAGCTACTTCCCTCTGTCCCGGCTACAGCATTGCACACACACAGCGGTTTCCTGGTTCCATTGAGAGAGGGGCAGGACGCAGGAGTCAAATAGTTGTCTCCACCCACCTCTAAACGTTTGACCCCGCCCACATTTAGCCCCGCCCCAATCTCCGGGATGCAGTCAGGGGTGGTCAACTCCAAAACAGCAGGACGTCTCTGCTGCCCCCTGCTGGACCATAAAACTACTGTAGCCCATAACTCAGACCAAACAGAAACTGTTCATTCACTTGTTTTGAGACTAACGCAATCGCAGAACATTAACTTTTTACACACTTGAAATTTGCACACAATAAGAAAAACAGTCTATCATTTATTAAATCATATGAATCAGCATTTATTCAGTATAAATCCTGTGTGACCAACAGACAGACATGCATATAACAAGGTCAAACAACCAGATCTAACCTTGAGTAATGCAGGTTGAGCTCCATCTGTTGGCTCGTGCATTAGTAGTGAAAACATCTCCACATAATGTCGTTTTTGCTTTTGTTTAGCAGATATTGTGTAAAAACTCAACTGGTACATCTTGTCAATCCTCTAGTTTCAAATAATTCTACGCTAGCATTTACATTTCAATTAGTGTCCATTTTTGTGCCAGGATTGTAGTTTATTTAAACCATGGGCCTTTAAAAAATTCTGTAAGTATTCAACATAAAAATATTCATAAGACCAGTACTACTAGAGACATTCTGAGTTCAACCACTGGTAATGATTTCCATGGAAACTACATCCTGAAATGCTTTTTAAGACAGAGAAGCTGAATTTTTTTATTAAATGTTTATTATATAGTGCCATGGCTTCGAGGAGATTCTGGTCCACCATCCGGCGCCTCAGGAGGGGAAAGCAGTGCGTTACTAACACTGTTTATAGTGGAGGCAGTGTGTTGCTGACCTCGACTCGGGACGTTGTGGATCGTTGGATGGAGTTCTTCGAAGACCTCCTCTATCCCATTGGCACACCTTCCAGTGAGGAAGCAGAGTTTGAGGACTTTGGTTTGGACTATCCAGTCTCTAGGGCTGACACAGGTGTCTGAATGACCGGTGTCAGAGCTTAGTCCGCATTGCCGGCAGTAAGTCGAGCTTGTTCCTGGTGAGAGTTGGACTCCGCCCAGACTGCCCTTTGTCACCAATTCTGTTCAAAACTTTATGAACAGGATTTCTAGGTGCAACCAAGGTGTTGAGGTGATCCATTTAAGTGGCCTAAGCATCAGGTATCTGCTTTTTGCGGATGATGTGGTCCTGTTGGTTTCATCAGAACGTGATATCCAGCTTTCGCTGTGAAAACAGCTTGGATGAGAATCAGCTCCTCTAAATCTGAGACCATGATCTTGAGTCCAAAAAGGGTAGAATGCCTTCTCCAGGTCAGGGATGAGGTCCTGTCTCAAGTGGAAGAGTTTAAGTATCTTGGGGTCTTGTTTACGAGCGAGGGAATGCTGGAGCACGAGATCGATA